CTGCGACCTCCCGTGCGTCTAGCACTTTGGACGCTACTCTCGACAAAACGAGAGCAGCAGCAGCATCTAAGTGCCTGAGCTGCAGCAGAAATGTCACTTCTCGGTCTAAAGCGCTGCAGTGCGGTCTGTGCAGCGGCATTGAGCACGATCTTTATGAATGCCTGAAAAGAACGGCATCTTCCGCGCTAACATTCCACTGTGACAATTGCTGACTTATTGTTAACGATAAGTCCCTTCTGGCGAATCTGACTTTGGCGAAAAAGACAGATAATAACGCTGCATTGGTGACGCCCGTACTACCGCCGGTGACTCCTCCATGCATCCATACTGTGCGCAATCGAAGCCGCTCCTCCTCCGCTTCATCAGCGGACACACCAATGCATAGTTCACAAGACAACCGAAAAAAGCCGTCTGTCGGCACTCCAACTGCAACTGCGACCTACGCAGCCGTGGCCAGCGCTGGCGCCGCAAAACCACCCGGCTGGGTCCAGGCCCCTAAAAGGAAAAGTTGTAAGGCGGTAAACAACAACAAATCGAAATCACCGTCTACAGTGTCACAACTAAAATCTGTGCTAAACAAGGTAACACGACTTGAGAAATTGCTAGCTGAGCAACCGGCCTTACCGAAACCGGTGAAGCCAAGCGATAGCAAGTCACCCCGGGGACGGCTATGCAACGTCATGATTTTCCACGCACCTGAGTCGACTGATCCCAGTCCCCAGGTACGCTATGACCATGATGTGCAATTCTTGCAGTCTCTAACCGACAAACTACTGGATGTTGGCGAACCCGGGTTACGAGTGAAACAAGTCACTCGTCTGGGGAAACAAGTTGATGGCAAGTGTCGGCCTCTGCGCATCGCGTTCGCCGACGAAACTGCCCCAAGGTTAGTACTGTCCCGCCTCGGTCGCCTAAAGGGGATGAAAATTCATGTTCGGCCAGACCTTGATCCCACAGAACGAGAGCAGCTGAAGTCTGCCGTGATCGCACTGAAACGACGCACGGACGCCGGTGAAACTAACCTGCGTATCGTAAATTTCCGCACAGTTGCCCGGATACCCCGAATCCGGGTAAACAGAGCAATGACGCTTCAAGCTCGCCCAGCGGTTCCTGCCGCGGATTGCGTGTAGCGTTCATTAATGTATGCAGCTTAATGAACAAGCACGATGATCTGATCCGCTTCATTGCTTCACGTCGGCCAGATGTGGTTGGTTTGGCTGAGACGTGGTTGACATCTGAAGTGACAAGCGAAGAAATTGCGATCACGGACTATTCGTGCTTCCGCTGTGATCGACAGTCGAATAGCCGCGGTGGCGTCCTACTTTACCTCCGGTCTACCCATTGCGGGAGACTCGTGAGCACCTACCGAAGCATTGACGGTCTGTGTGAGCAGCTGTGGTGTTCGATCCACCTACGACGCGGCGAACTGCTTGTGGGTGTGGCATATCGTAGCCCACTGAGTAACGGATTGGACTGACTCACACACGTCCGAAACCAAATGAGTCGCCCGCAGTTCCTGCTCACTGGCGACTTTAACCTTCCTCGAATCTTATGGCCTGAAGTTCAGCTTCTCCCTGGCCATAGTGAAGTGGAGACAAGATTCGCCGAACTGGTACCGGAAAGCGGAACGGTGCAGCACATCACGCAACCCACCCGCATAACCCCGCGCTCAATGCCATCATGCCTGGATCTGCTGCTAACCAGCTGCGAACAAACAGTGCATGACATAGAAGTTCTTGAGCCCATGGCGGCCAGTGATCACTCAACAATTATGGCCACTATAGACCTGCACATGCTCACCCAGTTGTGTATGAAAGCAACACCATGTTGCCTGGTGTACCGGAACACAAATTCACTCCAGGCATATTTCTCGTGTGAAAAGTTAGCCACTCTGGCGTGAAACATGCTTTATTTGGCTGTTCCAAGTTCCATGAAACTGCGGATAACGACGTCCGGTGGCTCGTTCCCATTCTTGCTATACGTTTGTCTTACAAGTGAAATACTCTTGAATACCGGTGTTTCAACGCACATTGGTAATAGAATTTGGCGTCTGTCAAATTCCTTCACACATCCAAGGTGATTTGGATAGCGACACCTATCCACAAGACATCAAGCATGACGAGCAAGGTCCAGCGAGCTGCGACCTCCCGTGCCGGTCTAGCACTTTGGACGCTACTCTCGACAAAACGAGAGCAGCAGCAGCATCTAAGTGCCTGAGCCTGCAGCAGAAATGTCACTTCTCGGTCCTAAAGCGCTGCAGTGCGGTCTGTGCAGCGGCTTTGAGCACGATCTTTATGAATGCCTGATTTAGAGGGTTGCCTATTCCGGGAGCCCAGAGAGCGATTCCAGAAGACGGATCGAGTTGCAGGGAAACTTTTATTGGTTCAGCAAAAGATTCCCTGTTAGCTAGCTATAAACGAACGACACCGTGGACGCTCTAGCTAGGGAAACAGATCAAGCACAGCACACAGAGCAGTCGCGCGTTGCAACCGAAGCGAGCGCCAAGCAAAAAATGGCGATGAGCAAGTAATGCATTCGAACTCAGCAAGCAGTTCAACAAACCACACCGGTTGCCTAAGTGTACAAATTATAGAATTTTGGTTAGAATTTTGCACAAGCAAACCGGGGAATCTCCAGACTGCTACATAGCCCTCTCCCAGAAGGGACTGTGTAAGCAGTCCTTCGATCTACGTGAGGACTGTCCGTCGCGGGCCAGCCTTCTGCGAGACCAGGTTGTGAAACCCGATGCAGCTGCTGGGGGAGAACCATGCAATCGGACCCCTAGCGGGCTCCCACCCGTGTCCTCCCTACGGTGTCGAAACGGTAAAAAAACTGTTTGTGGGGGGGACAGTTAATAAAGTTCACGTAGGCAGTTGAGCAGGAAGATTGTTGAACTTCCAGTTGGCGTGCGGAGATCCAGCGGAAAGTGAAACCGAGGTGCAACCAACCGACGATGTATATGGAAAGCAAAATGAAAAAGCAGCATAAATGCATAGCAATACACAAAAGAGTGTTAAGCGAAAAACGTGCAAAGCTGTTTTTGGGTTTTCAAAAAGTTTTGCTCTTTTTTGGTAGTTTCAAAACGTTTTGGTCTTTTTTTTGTGGATTTTCAAAAACGTTTAGTAAGAGCAGAAAATTTCTAAGGCACGTTCTACGTAAAAAAGTAAGTGCGAACGGAGTCCGAAAAACGAACCTTAGGTTTGAGCTTCCTACCGCGTCGATTGAGAGTAGGGCGGGTAGGAGTGCTGTCGGTTGTGGTTGTCGGTTCTGCTGGAGCGGACTGACTCGTCTGAGGTTGCGGTGCCAGCTGTGATGGCACAGGCTGTGAAGGTGCTTGTTGCACCGGCGAGTCAGACTTGTCGAAGAATGCTGGCTTGAGTCGATCAATGGTGATCATCTCAGTGGTGTTGCGTCGTGGCTTGCTTATGTCGGGATCAGCTTGTTGGGCAGCAGCCATGGCGGCTAGCTCAATGTTTGTGCCAGGCGCTAAGCTGATCTGCTGAATGCGTGAAAGCGCATCCGCGACGGGATTGAGAGCACCTGAGACATGACGTACGTCTGTCGTAAACTGAGAAACGTAGTCTAGGTGTCTAGTTTCCCGCGGCGAGTACTTGTCTGTTGCGCCATTGATTGCGTAGATCAATGGCTTGTGGTCGGTGAAGACGGTGAAATGTCGACCTTCGAGGTAGTGACGGAAATGTCGGATACCTAGGTAGATAGCTAACAGTTCCCTACCGAAGGTGCTGTATCGCGATTCGGCAGGTTGGAAGCGCTTTGAGAAGAAACCTAGGGGTATCCATCGATGGTCGATGAGTTGCTGAAGAACTGCACCGACGGCAGTGTCGGATGCGTCAGTCGTCAGGGAGAGTGGCGCAGATGTGTCTGGATGGGCGAGAAGCGCTATGTTGGAGATAGCGTCTTTAAGCTTCTCGAAAGACAATTTAGCGTCGTCTGTAAAATGAAAAGAGCGTTGTTTACCGCGCAGCAAGTCAGTCATTGGTTGAACAATGCTCGCGCAGTTAGGTATAAAGCGTCTGTAATAGTTGACCAGACCAAGGAATCGGCGTAACTGCTTGAAGGAACTGGGAGCAGGATAGTCCTTCAGTGCCTGGATTTTGTCTGGCAGGGCTTCGATACCAGAGGCAGATATGCGGTGGCCAAGAAAGTCGATGGAGCTTTGGCCAAGCTCGCATTTATCGGGGTTGACGGTAACCCCATGCTGTGTTAAGCGCTGGAAGAGAGCGTCGAGGTGACGAAGATGCTCCTCGTCAGAAGAGCTGGCGATGAGTATGTCATCTAGATAAGGATAAACGCCTTCGAGTCCTCGCGTTACCTCATGAATGAAACGCTGAAAAGTTTGAGCAGCGTTGCTGAGGCCGAAAGGCATTCTGAGGTACTCGAATAAGCCAAATGGCGTGATGACTGCTGTTTTAGCAATGTCATCTGGCGCCACAGGTATCTGGTGGTACGCACGGACTAAGTCGACTTTGCTGAAGATAGACTTGCCAGCTAGAGCTGAGGTCAAGTCGTGCATGTGCGGGATAGGGTATTTATCCGGGACGGTAAGTTTGTTAAGTGCCCTGTAGTCACCACAGGGGCGCCAGTCACCGGACTTCTTCGGCACCATGTGTAATGGTGATGCCCATGGACTTTTAGACGGGCGGATGATTCCCAGTTCGAGCATTTGCTCGAATTCCGCCTTCGCAGCTTTGAGCTTGTCCGGGGCTAGTCGGCGAGGGCGGGCCGAAACAGGTGGGCCCTTAGTGCAAATGTGATGCGTGACGTTTGACGTCACCGGAGGCAACTCGTTCAGGACGCGAACGAGTTTAGGGTGCTTGCTGAAAAGTTCTAGAAAAGACTGTGAAGCTTGAGGTAGGACACGAATGGGAGTGATAGCAGCCACGTTGGCGCTAGTCCCGATAACACTGAGCTGTGTCCTAGAATCGATAAGCTTCTTCCGTTTAGCGTCGACGATGAGGTCGAAGCGTTGAAGAAAGTCTATGCCTATGATGGCGAAAGGCACAGCAGCGATTATGAAAGGCCAGCGAAAGGTTCGCCGGAGGCCTAAATTGAGCGTTAACAGCTTTTCGCCGAAAGTTGCGATTGGTGTGCCATTGGCGGCACGCAGCTTGGTCGGCGATGGCGAGACGACCTCATCTGAGCTACGGGGTATGACGCTAACTTCGGCACCAGTGTCGACTAGAAACTCGATGCCGGAAGTTAAATCCCTAACACGGATGAGGCGACTTTGGTGTTGGCCGGTCGCGTCCGTCGCCGTTACGGACCGGCCGAGGTTTCCCTGCTTCTTGGCGAAGCTGCAAGGTTTGATACATTTACGAGCTGCGGTACCAAAACGCTGGTGGTACCAACAGCTAGCTTGCCTGTTGTTAGAGTTAGAAAGTTTGCAGGGCGATTTGATCGGCTATGACGACGACGGTCCATAGTAAGCTGCTGGACCTGGCGACTAAGTGTCGCAACTTGTGTTTGCAGGGCTTCTATAGTTGACTGTAAGCCAGTGATAGAAGTGCCCTGGGACGCGACGGCATTCATCTTGCTGGCGTCGACCTGTGGCTGTGATCGTTCAATAACTCGATCCGCTAAGTCTGCTAGTTGAGTGAGCGGAACGGAGCTCACTGTAGCGAGAATCGCTTGTGTGTTTTCCGGTAGCCGTTGTAGCCATAGTTCGCGAAGTAAAGTCTCATCCATGGTTGAAGAACCAAGGAGTTGCTGCATCTCTCGTAGCAGGGTTGAGGGCAGTTTGTCGCCCAGCTGCAGATCTCTGAAAAGCTGTTGAAGGCGAACTTTCTCAGAGGGCATAACACGCTTAATCGTGGCCTCTTTGAGAGCCTCATAGCGGTTTTCGGTCTGAGAAATGATGACGTCACGAACCTGCGTTGATATCTCCTTGGGGAGATAGGACAGGAGCTTGCAATACTTCGCGTAGTCGGAAGTGATTTTGTGGTTATAGAACTCGGCCTCAAGAAGAGCGAACCACAAAACAGGATCCATATCCCAAAAAGGTGGAACTGAGAGAGATACAACACTAAGCATAGACTCTACCTTATGGTCTACAGATTCCATGATTTGAAAAAATGACGCGAAAAATAGGCTATCGTATGCAAAAATAAACCGGAAAATATGAAAAATAAATGGAACGAGCTCACCAGAGAAAAGTTCCAAATATCCGGCGCTGAGGTTGATCCGGATTCGGGGTCACCAATTTAGAGGGTTGCCTATTCCGGGAGCCCAGAGAGCGATTCCAGAAGACGGATCGAGTTGCAGGGAAACTTTTATTGGTTCAGCAAAAGATTCCCTGTTAGCTAGCTATAAACGAACGACACCGTGGACGCTCTAGCTAGGGGAACAGATCAAGCACAGCACACAGAGCAGTCGCGCGTTGCAACCGAAGCGAGCGCCAAGCAAAAATGGCGATGAGCAAGTAAAGCATTCGAACTCAGCAAGCAGTTCAACAAACCACACCGGTTGCCTAAGTGTACAATTATAGAATTTTGGTTAGAATTTTGCACAAGCAAACCGGGGAATCTCCAGACTGCTACACTGAAAGGAACGGCATCTTCCGCGCTAACATTCCACTGTGACAATTGCTGACTTATTGTTAACGATAAGTCCCTTCTGGCGAATCTGACTTTGGCGAAAAAGACAGATAATAACGCTGCATTGGTGACGCCCGTACTACCGCCGGTGACTCCTCCATGCATCCATACTGTGCGCAATCGAAGCCGCTCCTCCTCCGCTTCATCAGCGGACACACCAATGCATAGTTCACAAGACAACCGAAAAAAGCCGTCTGTCGGCACTCCAACTGCAACTGCGACCTACGCAGCCGTGGCCAGCGCTGGCGCCGCAAAACCACCCGGCTGGGTCCAGGCCCCTAAAAGGAAAAGTTGTAAGGCGGTAAACAACAACAAATCGAAATCACCGTCTACAGTGTCACAACTAAAGTCTGTGCTAAACAAGGTAACACGACTTGAGAAATTGCTAGCCGAGAAACCGGCCTTACCGAAACCGGTGAAGCCAAGCGATAGCAAGTCACCACGGGGACGGCTATGCAACGTCATGATTTTCCACGCACCTGAGTCGACTGATCCCAGTCCCCAGGTACGCTATGACCATGATGTGCAATTCTTGCAGTCTCTAACCGACAAACTACTGGATGTTGGCGAACCCGGGTTACGAGTGAAACAAGTCACTCGTCTGGGGAAACAAGTTGATGGCAAGTGTCGGCCTCTGCGCATCGCGTTCGCCGACGAAACTGCCCCAAGGTTAGTACTGTCCCGCCTCGGTCGCCTAAAGGGGATGAAAATTCATGTCCGGCCAGACCTTGATCCCGCAGAACGAGAGCAGCTGAAGTCTGCCGTGATCGAACTGAAACGACGCACGGACGCCGGTGAAACTAACCTGCGTATCGTAAATTTTCGCACAGTTGCCCGGATACCCCGAATCCGGGTAAACAGAGCAATGACGCTTCAAGCTCGCCCAGCGGTTCCTACCGCGGATTGCGTGTAGCGTTCATTAATGTATGCAGCTTAATGAACAAGCACGATGATCTGATCCGCTTCATTGCTTCACGTCGGCCAGATGTGGTTGGTTTGGCTGAGACGTGGTTGACATCTGAAGTGACAAGCGAAGAAATTGCGATCACGGACTATTCGTGCTTCCGCTGTGATCGACAGTCGAATAGCCGCGGTGGCGTCCTACTTTACCTCCGGTCTACCCATTGCGGGAGACTCGTGAGCACCTACCGAAGCATTGACGGTCTGTGTGAGCAGCTGTGGTGTTCGATCCACCTACGACGCGGCGAACTGCTTGTGGGTGTGGCATATCGTAGCCCACTGAGTAACGGATTGGACTGGCTCACACACGTCCGAAACCAAATGAGTCGCCCGCAGTTCCTGCTCACTGGCGACTTTAACCTTCCTCGAATCTTATGGCCTGAAGTTCAGCTTCTCCCTGGCCATAATGAAGTGGAGACAAGATTCGCCGAACTGGTACTGGAAACCGGAACGGTGCAGCACATCACGCAACCCACCCGCATAACCCCGCGCTCAATGCCATCATGCCTGGACCTGCTGCTAACCAGCTGCGAACAAACAGTGCATGACATAGAAGTTCTTGAGCCCATGGCGGCCAGTGATCACTCGACAATTATGGCCACTATAGACCTGCAGCTTCCATGTGTGCGTCCAGTGGCGCCAACATACAACTATTGGAAAGCTGACTTCGATGGCCTCATTCTAGCTGCCAATCAGCTTGATTGGTCTATGCCACAGGATTCATCCGTTGAAATTTGCTGGGCAAACATTAAAGGGGCAGTGCACTCATTGTGTGCGCAATTTGTACCCCTCAAGACTCGGAAAGTTGGACCAATGAAACTCCATTGGTTTGACAAAGAGTATAACCGACTGTCTCGACAACGGCGTCGACTATGGAATGCGTTCCTCCTGTCTGGCTCTGCCGATGGCTATGAGGCATACAAGCGACAACGAAACTTGTGCAACAGCACAAAGACGCGAAAACGCCGTCAGTTTGAGGAGCAGCTTGCTTGCTCAGCTAAAACTGCCCCGAAGCGCATATTTGCGTACGTGAAGCGACGCCTGAAGTCTGCAGGTAATGTGCCGGTGCTAGTGCGTCCGAACGGGCAACCACTAAGTTCAAACACCGAGCGTGCGTCCGCATTAGCGGCGCACTTCGCTTCTGTATTCGCAACTAACCAAACCTGCGCACCAAGCTCTGCCGTCGCCGCACCGACTGAGCTAACCGACTTGATCTGCGGAGGTACATGGGCTAGTCAGCTGCCTAGACAGCACGAAGCCAGCTGGACCGGATGGTCCTCATCCGCTGATCCTCAAGTCCTTGTCAGCTGTGATCTCACCTGCTGTAACCGACCTGTTCAACCGATCCCTGTCCATAGGCTGCGTGCCTTGTGACTGGAAATGCGCCGTTGTCAAACCGATTCCAAAAGGCGGTGACACACGCAAAGTGGAGAATTACCGCCCTATTTGTTTGACCGCAGTATTGTCGAAAGTTCTGGAGAAGATTGTGAAGAAGAGACTGCTCCAGCTACTGGAGACCAACTCTCTCCTGACGCCTGCACAGCATGGTTTCGTGAGAGGCCGCTCGTGCATCACTAACCTGCTACTAACATGGCATGAATGGTTGCAAGCAGTAAACCAGCGCAAGTCAGTCGACGTGGTATACGTCGATTTCAGTAAGGCCTTCGACAGAGTGAATCACGAGATCCTCCTTCAGAAACTGAGGGAGTGCGGAGTCGGAGGCTCGCTGCACCAATGGATCCGTGACTTCTTAGTTGGACGGAAGTGGAGGATGCAAGTCGACAGCCACCTGACCGACTGGTACCCGTCGACGAGCGGCGTTCCTCAGGGGACGGTGCTTGGCCCCATTCTTTTCCTGATTCACATCAACGACGTGCCAAATCTCCTTCGGTCGCCGTGTGCCTTGTTCGCGGATGACCTGAAGCTATGGAGGGTGATCCATACGTCGTCATGATTTTCCACGCACCTGAGTCGACTGATCCCAGTCCCCAGGTACGCTATGACCATGATGTGCAATTCTTGCAGTCTCTAACCGACAAACTACTGGATGTTGGCGAACCCGGGTTACGACTGAAACAAGTCACTCGTCTGGGGAAACAAGTTGATGGCAAGTGTCGGCCTCTGCGCATCGCGTTCGCCGACGAAACTGCCCCAAGGTTAGTACTGTCCCGCCTCGGTCGCCTAAAGGGGATGAAAATCCATGTCCGGCCAGACCTTGATCCCGCAGAACGAGAGCAGCTGAAGTCTGCCGTGGTCGAACTGAAACGACGCACGGACGCCGGTGAAACTAACCTGCGTATCGTAAATTTTCGCACAGTTGCCCGGATACCCCGAATCCGGGTAAACAGAGCAATGACGCTTCAAGCTCGCCCAGCGGTTCCTACCGCGGATTGCGTGTAGCGTTCATTAATGTATGCAGCTTAATGAACAAGCACGATGATCTGATCCGCTTCATTGCTTCACGTCGGCCAGATGTGGTTGGTTTGGCTGAGACGTGGTTGACATCTGAAGTGACAAGCGAAGAAATTGCGATCACGGACTATTCGTGCTTCCGCTGTGATCGACAGTCGAATAGCCGCGGTGGCGTCCTACTTTACCTCCGGTCTACCCTGTGCGGGAGACTCGTGAGCACCTACCGAAGCATTGACGGTCTATGTGAGCAGCTGTGGTGTTCGATCCACCTACGACGCGGCGAACTGCTTGTGGGTGTGGCATATCGTAGCCCACTGAGTAACGGATTGGATTGGCTCATACACGTCCAAAACCAAATGAGTTGCCCACAGTTCCTGCTCACTGGCGACTTTAACCTTCCTCGAATCTTATGGCCTGAAGTTCAGCTTCTCCCTGGCCATAATGAAGTGGAGACAAGATTCGCCGAACTGGTACTGGAAACCGGAACGGTGCAGCACATCACGCAACCCACCCGCATAACCCCGCGCTCAATGCCATCATGCCTGGACCTGCTGCTAACCAGCTGCGAACAAACAGTGCATGACATAGAAGTTCTTGAGCCCATGGCGGCCAGTGATCACTCGATAATTATGGCCACTATAGACCTGCAGCTTCCATGTGTGCGTCCAGTGGCGCCAACATACAACTATTGGAAAGCTGACTTCGATGGCCTTCTTCTAGCTGCCAATCAGCTTGATTGGTCTATGCCACAGGATTCATCCGTTGAAACTTGCTGGGCAAACATTAAAGGGGCAGTGCACTCATTGTGTGCGCAATTTGTACCCCTCAAGACTCGGAAAGTTGGACCAATGAAACCCCATTGGTTTGACAAAGAGTATAACCGACTGTCTCGACAACGACGTCGACTATGGAATGCGTTCCTCCTGTCTGGCTCTGCCGATGACTATGAGGCATACAAGCGACAACGAAACTTGTGCAACAGCACAAAGACGCGAAAACGCCGTCAGTTTGAGGAGCAGCTTGCTTGCTCAGCTAAAACTGCCCCGAAGCGCATATTTGCGTACGTGAAGCGACGCCTGAAGTCTGCAGGTAATGTGCCGGTGCTAGTGGGTTCGAACGGACAACCACTAAGTTCAAGCACCGAGCGTGCGTCCGCATTAGCGGCGCACTTCGCTTCTGTATTCGCAATTAACCAAACCTGCGCGCCAAGCTCTGCCGTCGCCGCACCGACTGAGCTAACCGACTTGATCTGCGACGTCGCGGAGGTACATGGGCTAGTCAGCTGCCTAGACAGCACGAAGCCAGCTGGACCGGATGGTCTCCATCCGCTGATCCTCAAGTCCTTGTCAGCTGTGATCTCACCTGCTGTAACCGACCTGTTCAACCGATCCCTGTCCGTAGGCTGCGTGCCTTGTGACTGGAAATGCGCCGTTGTCAAACCGATTCCAAAAGGCGGTGACACACGCAAAGTGGAGAATTACCGCCCTATTTGTTTGACCGCAGTGTTGTCGAAAGTTCTGGAGAAGATTGTGAAGAAGAGACTGCTCCAGCTATTGGAGACCAACTCTCTCCTGACGCCTGCACAGCATGGTTTCGTGAGAGGCCGCTCGTGCATCACTAACCTGCTGCTAACATGGCATGAATGGTTGCAAGCAGTAAACCAACGTAAGTCAGTCGACGTGGTATACGTCGATTTCAGTAAGGCCTTCGACAGAGTGAATCACGAGATCCTCCTTCAGAAACTGAGGGAGTGCGGAGTCGGAGGCTCGCTGCACCAATGGATCCGTGACTTCTTAGTTGGACGGAAGTGGAGGGTGCAAGTCGACAGCCACCTGACCGACTGGTACCCGTCGACGAGCGGCGTTCCTCAGGGGACGGTGCTTGGCCCCGTTCTCTTCCTGATTCACATCAACGACGTGCCAAATCTCCTTCGGTCGCCGTGTGCCTTGTTCGCGGATGACCTGAAGCTATGGAGGGTGATCCATACGTCGGACGACTTTGACATACTTCAGCAGGACCTCGACCGCCTCTCCATGTGGTCCGCCGAAGTAAGTTTGCCTATCAACTCGGCAAAATCGCTACTTCTGTGCCTCGGTAAAGGTGGAGCGGGCCGATCGTACACTCTCGACGGCCAAGTTCTACACCCGACGCATTGCGTCAGAGACCTTGGCGTTATACAACGTTACGACATGAAGTCACTGGACAACACGGACAATATGTATCGCACAGCATTGCGTTCGCTGTGGGCGCTGAAACGTAGCTTCTGCACCTGGTCGAAAGAGATTGCCACTCGTCTCTTCACATCCATTGTACGACCGGTGCTAGAATACGGCTCACCCGCCTACTGTCCGTTGACGAAAGGCGAGATACACAAGCTCGAAAGAGTACAACACATAGCCACACGGCTCATTCCCGGCCTTCAGGGTGTGCCGTATGAAGAAAGATGCAGACAATTGGGTCTGTATACTCTAGCCTACCGCCGCGTGCGAGTGGACCTCATCATGACCCATCGGGTATTGCATCTGGGTGCTTATCCGATGCTGAGGCCACTGCTCCATGTCCGTGCGTCAAGCAGCACACGAGGTCACCAGTACAAACTGGTAGTCCCTGACCTCAAGTGGGTAGCTCATCCCTTGTGTCTTGAGCGGCGAGTGGTGAACATGTGGAACCGTTTGCCCTCGCGGATAGTAGAAGCGAACTCGGTGTCGGAATTCAAACGATTCCTGGACGCGCACTTTGTGGATGCCAGATTCGACGAAGCCTTCACAGGAAACTGACGAAGGAATCGTTCAATCATTATAACCCATGGAGCCCGTTAATCCACCAACTGCAGCTTCCGAAACGATGCCCATCCGTAATAGGCGGCGGAGCTGGTGAAGGACTCCATGTGGTTCATCCAAGAATATATGGTAAGTACATGGAGATTTTTTCTATGCTTGTAAATATTTTACTTTTTTCACCTGGGCTAGCTCACTACTACAGATAACACTGTGTCAGTGGGACATGTCCTACATTGAGATATAGCTACATAGATGTTCAACATCTTTCTCGCTATCATGACAGTATCAGTATCAGTATCAGTATCATGACCCATCGGGTATTGCATCTGGGTGCTTATCCGATGCTGAGGCCACTGCTCCATGTCCGTGCGTCAAGCAGCACACGAGGTCACCAGTACAAACTGGTAGTCCCTGACCTCAAGTGGGCAGCTCATCCCTTGTTTCTTGAGCGGCGAATGGTGAACATGTGGAACCGTTTGCCCTCGCGGATAGTAGAAGCAAACTCGGTGTCGGAATTCAAACGATTCCTGGACGCGCACTTTGCGGATGCCAGATTCGACGAAGCCTTCACAGGAAACTGACGAAGGAATCGTTCAATGATTATAACTTATGGAGCCCGTAATCCACCAACTGCAGCTTCCGAAACGATGCCCATCCGTAATAGGCGGCGGAGCTGGTGAAGGACTCCATGTGGTTCATCCAAGAATATATCGTAAGTACATGGAGATTTTTTCTATGCTCGTAAATATTTTACTTTTTTCACCTGGGCTAGCTCACTACTACAGGTAACACTGTGTCAGTGGGACATGTCCTACATTGAGACATAGCTACATAGATGTTCAACATCTTTATCGCTATCATGACAGTAAAGTAAAGTAAAGTAAAGGAACACAGTCCAGAAGTTTGGTTTAAGATATTCGAGATCGAACTAGAAAATAAGGATTACGGCGGTCCGTCCGAGGTACAATCAGCTCGTCCCACGTCTTCCTCCTTTAGAGGATCGCGTGTACCGGGAGCCCAGAGAGCGATTCGAGAAGACGGATCGAGTTGCAGGGAAACTTTTATTGGTACAGTAAAAGATTCCCTGTTATCTAGTTATAAATGAACGACACCGTGGACGCTCTAGCTAGGGGAATGGAGCAAGCACAGCACACAGGGCAGTTGCGAGTTGCAACCGAAGCGAGCGCCAAACAAAAAATGGCGATGAGCAAGTCAATCATTCGAACTCAGCAATCAGTTCAACGAACCACACCGGTTACCAAAGTGTACAATGAAATAATTTTAGTTAGAATTTTACACAGGCAAACCGGGGAATCTCCAGACTGCTACATAGCCCTCTTCCAGAAGGGACTGTGTAAGCAGTCCTTCGATCTACGTGAGGACTGTCCGTCGCGGGCCAGCCTTCTGCGAGACCACGTTGTGAAACCTGATGCAGCTGCTGAGGGAGAACCATGCAATCGGACCCTAGCGGGCTCCCACCCTTGTCCTCCTTACGGTGTCGAAACGGTAACAAGTTGTTTGTGGGGGGACAGTTAGTAAAGTTCACGAATGCGGTTGAGCGTGCGGTTGACGTGCGGAGATCCAGCGAAAGGTGAAACCGAGGGGCAGCCAATCGACGGTGTATATGGAAAGCAAAATGAAAAGGCAGCATGAATGCATGGCAATACACCAAAGAGTGCAGTGCTGTTGTTGGGTTTTCAAAAGGTTTTGCTCTTTTTTGGTAGTTTCAAAACGTTTTGGTCTTCTTTGTGGATTTTCAAAAACGTTTGGTTAGAGCAGAAAATTTCAGAGGCACGTTCTATGTAAAATAGTGAGTGTTAACAAATTCCGAAAAATGAACTGGAGGTTTGAGCTTCCTACCTCGTCGTTTGATAGTAGGGCGAGTAGGAGTGCTGTCGGTTGCGGTTGTAGGTTCTGCTGGAGCGGGCTGACTCGTCTGAGGTTGCGGTGCGAGCTGTGATGGCACAGGCTGTGAAGGTGCATGTTGCACCGAAGAGTCAGACGTGTCGAGGAATGCTGGCTTGAGTCGATCGATGTTGATCGTCTCAGTCTTACCATTGTAGTCAATGGTAAACGTCGTGTCGCTTCTGCGTACGACACGGTATGGACCAGAATAGGGAGGTTGAAGTGGTCGGCGTACGCTGTCAGTGCGAACGAACACGTGCGTGCAAGTGGTTAAGCGTTCGTCCAAGTTGGTACGCAAGCTATGTGGTCTGGGTCGCACAGGCTGAAGCTGTCGCATGTGATGAGATAGGCGAGCTGCGTAGTCGCCATAGTCGAAGGTTGTTGGCGCTTTTGGTGAGACGAGTTCACCAGGTAAGCGTTGTGTGCATCCAAAAACTAGCGACGATGGAGTGGCGTGCAAATCCGCTTTAATCGTGTTTCTTATGCCTAAGAGAACGAGCGGAAGTGCTTCGTGCCAGGATGTGCTAGATTGGGCACAGAGTGAGGCTTTGAGTTGCCGGTGGAACCTTTCTACCATCCCATTAGCTGCGGGATGGTATGCGGTGGTTCGGTTATGTTGGCATCCAAGAACCTTGAGCAATTTGCTGAAGGATCCGTCAAAGTGCGATCCTCTGTCAGTGATGACTAGGCTTGGGCAACCGAATTGAGCTACCCAGCGTTCTAAGAAAGCTTGCGCAACTGTCTCAGATGAGCAGTTGACTATCAGAATCGCCTCTGGCCAACGGGTGAGTCGGTCGACACAAGTGAGGAGGTACACGTAGCCTTTGCATGGAGGCAAAGGTCCGACCAGGTCGACATGGACGTGTGCAAAGCGAGAGTCAGGAGCTGGAAAGATGCCAAGTGGGCTTTTGGTGTGTCTGTAGACCTTGGCGCGCTGACACTAAGCATGCGCGTGTCAACAGGCGGACATCGTGATTGACGTTGGGCCATACGAAGCGTTCCGTTAGGAGCTTCTGCGAAGCACGTATGCCGGGATGAGACAGGTTGTGTAAAGCGTTGAAAACTAGTCGACGCATCGAAGTAGGAACTGCGGGTCCGGGAGAAGTTTGTGAAACGTCACAAAGAGTGGTCCCCTCAGATGAAGCTGGTGGAACTTCGCGTAGTTTCAACGAGGTGTCGCATCGTAGCTTGTTTATGTCGGGATCAGCTTGTTGGGCAGCAGTTATGGCGGCTAGGTAACTGTTGGTGCCAGGCGATAAGCTGATCTGCTGAATGCGTGCAAGCGCATCCGCGACGGGATTGAGAGCACCTGAGACATGTCGTATGTCTGTCGTAAATTGAGAGACGTAGTCTAGGTGTCTAGCTTCCCGCGGAGAATACTTGTCCGTTGCGCCATTGATTGCGTAGAGCAATGGCTTGTGGTCAGTGAAGACGGTAAAATGTCGACCTTCGAGGTAGTGACGGAAATGTCGGATACCTAGGTAGATAGCTAACAGTTCCCTACCGAAGGTGCTGTAACGCGCTTCCGCAGGTTGTAAACGTTTCGAGAAGAAACCTAGAGGTATCCATCGATGGTCGATGAGTTGCTGAAGAACTGCACCGACGGCAGTGTCGGATGCGTCAGTTGTCAGGGAGAGTGGTGCAGATGTGTCTGGATGGGCGAGAAGCGCTAAACCCTTTTCATACTGAAGCCAGCCCGACCTAAGATATAGCTTGTACTCATTTTGAACCAACCGATACTTGTCAAACCTGCTGTTCGTCGGAGCTGTTCGCTACGCTCGGCAGCACCTGGACCGCTTCTTTAGCAAGCCCTTCTCCGCGGAATCTATCCACGGAGGCTGCGCTCTCGATTCCCTTCTTTTTCCCAGTGGACTGTGAGGTGCAGAAATGTCGACGAGGTGAGCCTTAAGTTTTTCCCAGGCTATGTGAACATTGTCGGTCTCAGATATCACACATGGCGATGACCTAGCTTTCTCTCGAATCGCTTGTACGTCCGCGACCCAAATGTTCGGACACCAACTGGTAGTAGCTTGGCAAGGCCTGATAAGTGTACACTGAAAAGACAAGCAAACGTGGCCGCTGGCGCCAAGAGGCGAATGGTAATCAATATCATTTGCAAACTCGCAACAAGACCTAAAATGGACGGCTGCTGATTTCTCATATACCTAGTGGGGCGATGCACGAACTGGTGTAGTGGTACCTGCAGCGTTAAGTCCAGCAGTTCTGTACCGAACGATCCCAGAGCCGAACTGCAAGATGGCTCATCCCAATAAACCTCTGGGAGGTTGAAGTCTCCCAGCACCAGACACTTGTTCGCATAGTGAGTGCGTATAAACTCAATGATTCCATTGCAGGTGCTCATAGGGCTTCTATACAGTAACACGACCCCTAAACCGATGAAGCGCAAAGCAGGACTCATCATCATCGTTATACACGTTAGCTGGAGGTGGGAAACACCTCAGCTACTATGCCGCAATATATAGAAGATAAAAGGGGAGAAAGAAATGCAACTGGGGCAAACCAGTTGAGCTACCGGTAACGGATAGACATTGTTCCGATAGGCTACCAGCCGGCTACTATGCATCAAAAAAATTACTATGCAAAATTATATAAGGCTAAATAGTGAAATCGTGTTGGAGGAGGAGGCTAAGAGGGATGGGGTGGGACAAAGAAACTCACAGCACGAACGCCACTGAGGTCGGCTCCTAGCCATATCAGCAAGTGTGTCCAGCCAAACGTGTTCATGGTCTTTCGGACCCCAACCAAGGAGCCGAAACGTTCCAACCGAGGCCAGCTCCGAAGGGAGGTTCTTCATTCCTCTCGACGAAGTCATCGCTTGGCCGCTCCTCTTCTTCCATTCACACCCCCGCCGTGCAAACAACGCACGTAGC